CCTGCTAAGCTCAGGAGTGAGGTTATGTTGGAGAGGAAGTAGAGTGAGTAGTGGTCCTGGAATTTGTGAAAGAACAAACATGGGCTGACATTAACAACAGCAACTGAATATGGCATCTTCAGTTCCTGGAGGGAAGGAATGAATTCCATGAGAGTAGTAGTTTCCATGTCAGAGCCAGAGAATACAGCAGTCAACAGCCTGCACGGAGTTATCCGCACCTTCATTCCCAGGACAGCAGTGGCACAGAGCTTTCCACCTGTGTCCCACAAGCTTTGTGAACCATCTCTGCCTGCTTAAATTGTTCATTCATAGATGGTCATTCTTGTCTCACCTGTCCATGCCCAGCTTTTTAGGTTCCTTTACTCCAGCTGTTTCTGTCAGTGTACCTGGAGGGCAGAGCTCCTGTGAGCTCTACACATTACCATCTGGCCAGGAACACAGTCCAGCACATGTTGACTACCTCCATCCTGGGTTCTGCCCCCTGAACTGCTCAGACATCTGGGCTTCTTCAGAAAGTGTTACCTGGAACATTTGAGTTTGGTTCTGGAATCTGGTTGGAGCATTTTGGAAAGTTGTGTGGGGTCCATCAGGTGCTCAAACTGATTTTTGATCTTCCTTGCTTTCTTTATTTATATTGTTTGTTTCTTACCAGAGTGAATAGGGGGTTTCTGAAAACAATTCAGATGGAAGCAACCCAATTTAAAAAAAAGCTCAATATGCCAGAGCCTGGCTTTGAACAACAGATGAAAAAAAGGGCAGGTGCCCCGGCTGGTGTGGCTAAGTTGGTTGAGCATTATCCCATGCACTGAGAGATCGCTGGTTCGATTCCTGGTCAGGGCACATGCCCAGGTTGCAGGCTCAATCCCAGGTAGGGGGTAGCCGATCAATGTTTCCCTCTCTCATCCATGTTTCACTCCCTCTCCCTTTCCCTTCCTCTTTCTCTGAAATCAATAAAAACATATATATTTTAAAGAGGGCAGTTATTTGCTGACTTCAGGGGCTCATTGAAGGGTATGGGCTTCTCTCTTAAGTCTTCTAACCCTCATTTTCCTCATGGGGTAAAGGACAATGACACCTGCTTTTTCTACCTCTCAAATGTTTTGAGATGCTGTATGAGATCGGGATGTGTGAAATGCTTTGTAAATTTCAAAGCACTCTGAATTTAGGGTATTGACTTAATGGATAGTGGCTTCTAGGGCATTTAAAAATGGTTTGATTTACATTTAGTAAAAACTCGCCTAGTATAAAAACTTCAAAGGTGACATCTCAAGGTTATATCACAGCTCAAAGTTTTATAGTCTCTTGTCTTCTCAGACTGTCATCAGAGGAGAGCCAGGTGTTTCTGGGAAGAATTACTTACTGGAATGGGGTGTGTGTATTGGGGGGAAGGGGGTGGAGATGGTCTGCTGCCTTTTCTAGGAATAGTGAATACAGTGGCCTCCTAATTATTCCTTGATAGTGTGTTCATAAGTGGCAACCTGGTAGCTTATTTGCAATAAAACTTTTTCTTTTCTAGTCTCTTTTGTCCTAAAGGTTTACTTTCCTTGTGTTCACCTCTTGGTTCCATGAAGGTATCCCTTTGTAGTAGCACCTTAGCCTTAGAGTAGATGGGAGGGATAGAGCAAAGCCCTGGACGCCTTCTCCCAGAATCACCATTTTTGCTTCTTTCCCCACACCATACACAAGCTTTGTTTTCTTCTGCACCATTTCTCTGGGCCTCTGTATCCTTAAAACCTCAACTTTGGCTTGCACGCCCCCTAGTGGCATGTCTGATGCACCCCTGTTACTCCATTTGTTGTACCATCATAGCTCTCCTTTCTATTCAGCTCTATTACTAAATATTAACCCCAATTCACAAATGCCAGATGAGAGCTTGGGTGATCCTTACTTGCCACTTAAGTAGACCTGGGAGGTGGGATTTGAATTGGAACTTTTGATTCTCAGATTTATACAGTGGGAATGCCTCAGAAAAAAGGATGATATGGTTATAGCTTTTCTAAAGATTTACTTTTTGTGTTTTAAAAAAGAATCAGTTATTTTACTATCTACTCAGCTATTGAAAATCAAAATGTGACAAATAATTTTTTTACCCTCCTCCATTACATTGGAAACACTTTCATCACTCACAAAGTGTTCAGTATTTCACTACAAAAATATAAAGGATGATGTCTGCCCTTCAGAAGTTTACATTCTAGTTACATGGTGTTTAAATTATTCCCTTGAGGAAAAAATTGAGTATAATGCACGATAACTTTTTATTGATGTTTAATATATCTACTTCATCTCACTAAAGAGAGGTGTTCTGAGCATTTTCTTATTTATTTTTAAAGTCCTTTTCAGTGGAGAGAGAACCACAAGATAACAGTAATTACCCAGATGAACCGTGGAGGATAACAGAAGAGCAGCGGGAGTACTATGTCAATCAGTTCCGATCCCTTCAGCCAGACCCAAGTTCCTTCATTTCAGGTAATGAAGTCTGACAGGTGAGAATGTGGGTTCCAGGTTATTGTCTCATATAAATAACAGTACACATCTTGAGAAATAGTTTACACAAAATGAATATGACAGCCTTCTGTGAGTTCAATTTATTTCCCTCTCAGATCGAATTTCTTATCAGCTATAAACCATGCAGAAAAACACTTGGCAATGACATTTAGAAAAAATTATGTTTCCGTTTCAGAGGGTTAAATCAGAATTTGGTCTGGACCTTGTGATTTAATAGCTGGAGCAGTTTTTGAAATGATAGAGTATGGCACCAAGGCAACATCTTTAATTGCTTACTCATTATATTAGAGTTAGAGAAAGATGTAGTATAACCTTCTATAGCTAGCATTACAGTCTCCTTATGTTATATATGCCTTAGAAGTTCAAATTCATGCTCGTTTTCTTTGGCTCAAGACTTTCTCCTTTGGTTTGTTGGAGAGAAATTAAAATATGGGAGGAAAATTGGCCAGCATTTTTATGTCCACATGTCAGTTCTTTTGGGCTGTCTTCAGAAATATGTATTCCTGTTGCCTTTTCATGTAAAATTCAAGCTGAGAGGAATTGATTTAATTCCTCTGTGCCTACATTTTACTGGGGTGAAGGCTAATCAAACAGTGAAATAATAAAGACTGGAATAAAAATTCATAAAACTTTCTTTTTGTACTTTAATTTTGTAGAATAACAATATGTCCTTGATAATTGTAACCTGACATTGAAGTGAGGACTAAGACTAATTTTCTCTTGTGAAATAAGGTGTGCAGTCGAAATGTACTTGTATAGATGCGACCATCGTTTTCTGATTGATGGTAATGGCTTGATTGAAGGCAGACTATTGTAGAGACAAACAAGTTAATGTTAACAACATGATTTTAAAGAAATAAGCAGGAACAGATTGTATGTACTGACTATTTGCTAACCTTACCCATTGCTTAAGTGAGTTTCTTCATAGTCTATACAAATGATTAGACAAATACAAATAGGTAGCTGTCAGGAATATTTTTACTTTCTTTAAACTTCTTTATTTTGCAGAATTTCCAATGTAGATATAGCTGGAGTGGCTAGTATAACAAACCCCTATCACACAGCCCCAACAATTTTGTTTTATTTATATCCCCTCTTACCCAAGATGGTTTTGAAGCAATTACCAGATAATTTTGTTTAAAAAATGCAGGGTGGGCAAAAGTAGGTTTATAGTTGTGAGTACATGAAACACAGTTTATTCTTGTATTATTATTAATTATTGTATTATTTTCCATACAGAAAATTGTAAGCCTATTTTTGCCCATTCCTATATTTCAGGATATATCTCTAAAGACAAGGCCTCTTTTTAAAAAAATATATTTTATTGATTTTTTTGTTTAAAAAATGCAGGGTGGGCAAAAGTAGGTTTATAGTTGTGAGTACATGAAACACAGTTTATTCTTGTATTATTATTAATTATTGTATTATTTTCCATACAGAAAATTGTAAGCCTATTTTTGCCCATTCCTATATTTCAGGATATATCTCTAAAGACAAGGCCTCTTTTTAAAAAAATATATTTTATTGATTTTTTTGAGAGAAGGGAGAGGGAGAGGGAGAGTAAGAAACATCAATGATGAGAGAGAATCATTGATTGGCTGCCTTCTGAATGCTCTTTTAAAAATATAACCACAGCCCTAACTGGTTTGGCTCAGTGGATAGAGCATCAACCTGCAGACTGAAGGGTCCCGGGATAGATTCCGGTCAAGGGCATATGCCGGGTTGTGGGCTCAATCATCAGTAGGGGGTGTGCAGCAGGTAGCCAATCAATGATTCTCTCTCATCATTGATGTTTCAATCTCTCTCCTTCTCCCTTCCTCTCTAAAATCAATTAAAAATACATAAAAGAGTTCTCTTTAAGAAAAGAATAAAAATATAACCACAATTCATTGGCACACATTAAAATAGAAGAATATACATTCCTTAATATTATCAAGTTGTCATTGTTCAGATTTCCCTGATTATCATACAAATGCCGTTAAAAATATATTTTTATTGACTTCAGAGAGGAAGGGAGAGGGAGAGATAGAAACATCAATGATGAGAGAGAATCATTGATTGGCTGCCTGCTGCACGCCCCACACTGGGGATCAAGCCTGCAACCTGGGTGGTGACCTCCTGGTTCATAGGTTGATGCTCAACCACTGAGCCAAAATGGTCAGGCAGGTCTACCCATTTTTATATTGGGTTACTCATCTTTATTTTGCACAGATCTATATGTATTCGGTGTGCTACTATTATATCCCTGATATATCAATGGTGTGTGTAACTCTTGAGACTTCTGAGAAAATTGAATGAGGAGAGAAGTGAGAAATCTGAGAAAATTGAGAGAATGAGGAGAGAAACGAGAGATCTGAGACTGAGAGATTTCTTATAATAGCAAGTCTGAATTCATGTTTTGATGTTTGACTGCTGACAACTTTTAAGCCTCCCCTCTCCCTTGTGTGCCTCTAATGTGAATCCCCAGCAAGGTATGATAATAGCTGCAGAGAACAAGGAAAAGAGGCTGGCTTGGAGTTTCTATGGTGGTTGGGAGTGGAGCTGCGCTGGAGGGTTCCAACTCATGGTTTGAACTTTTGTCAGTTCCAAAGGAGGGAGTACTGGGGCTTTCTCATTAAGGCCGATTAGAAGACTTGTCATTGCCATGGAATGACTTTTGACTTTATCTGCTTAACATAGAGCTTGGGGCTTTGATTTGACTATTCTTTGTATTAGAAGTGAAGCTTTTGAACTATGAAATTGTTTTTAGAGTTGAAAGCATAAAAATTTCAATCTCAATAATGGTTGGGTCCAACATTTTAAGTGTAGTTGGGACTTTAGTGCAGCTTTGTTAACATGTAAAATGGAATGAGTACCTGATTTAAATTGATATTGGTAAATTTACAATGATTAAAGAAAGTAGCAGAAGGTTCCTGGATAAGTTTCTTAAGGAACCACCAAAGAGCTTAAATCTCACCAAAACTTTTTCCCAATAGGCCTGTCTTATGTCTGTGTGATAATATTAATAGTGATTTTTTTATTTTTTGCTATTTTTTTTACCATGATTGTGTATTGCATTTTATTAAAAGTGCTTGACAGGTTTTTACTTTAATAATTTTGAAATTTGTCTTTTGAATTTTTTAGTAAAATTTTGCACAGTTTCAGTAAAAGTGAAGCAGGAATTAATTACTATAATTTACATGTTATAATAAGTGTTATGTCATTGCTTCTTTGCCCTATTCTAATTTATATATTCTTTTAAAAGCTGTTCACATATTGTTTTTAGACACATGATTTGTATTTACTTTAATGAATAAATGTTGTGTTTGTGGTAGAGATTGTTGAAAGAAAAAATGGTGATTCATTGACATTAAATATAAAAGCTGCTCTAGATATTAATTAATGATTTATTTAAACAATGGCTGTTGACAGGTTCAGTGGCCAAGAACTTCTTCACCAAATCAAAGCTTTCCATTCCAGAACTCTCCTATATATGGTAAGTACAATTAATGCCATATGATATGATATAGTCATCCATATTCATTCTTTAGTTCCTACTGTTGCATTTTAAAAGTCTTATTTCTTGAATGTTTTTTAACAGACTAAGAGAGTGAAAAGAATTTAAGTTTTTTTTTTTAAATGTATTTTATTGATTTTTTACAGAGAGAAAGGGAGAGGGATATAGAGAGTTAGAAACATCGATGAGCGAGAAACATGGATCAGTTGCCTCCTGCACACCCCTACTGGGGATGTGCCCGCAACCAAGGTACACACCCATGACTGGAATCAAACCCGGGACCCTTTGGTTCGCAGGTGGACGTTCTATCCACTGAGCCAAACCAGTCAGGGCAGAATTTAAGTTTTTGTTGCTGTGAAAATTAAATAAGTTATATGAAAATCACAATGAACAGTATCTGGAACATACTGCATATTGTATGTATTAGCTATTATTTAAAAAAGTAATTTTCTAGTTATCTTCATCTAGATCCCTTTTCAGTCTAAGCCAGTGGTTCTCAACCTATGGGTCGAGACCCCTTTGGCAGTCGAACGACCCTTTCACAGGGGTCGCCTAAGACCATCCTGCATATCAGATATTTACATTACAATTCATAACAGTAGCAACATTACAGTTATGAAGTAGCAACGAAAATAATTTTATGGTTGGGTCACAACATGAGGAACTGTATTTAAAGGGCCAAAAGGTTGAGAACCACTGGACTCTAAGCGATTGTGTGGGCATATGAGAATTTCCATTTTGTGTATTTTATTTTCTGATTTTTCTGCTTGGTGTGATGCAAGTAACCAGAGGACCTTGAAAAGCTATTCTTTATAATATTTTATGAGGCTGGGTGAAATGTCTTGGAATTAAGTTAAATTTGACTATTCTAGCTGCCTGTAAATTTGGCTGGTGTTTATCAGCTGGACTCTAGCTTTATCAGCTGGACTCTAGCTTAGAATTGCAGCTGTTGAGTGTATTGTACTTTGCTGCTTAGCTGGACACAGCCCTGACTCCAAAGGGCTTTGCTGGGACAGTCCAGATGGCGCCATTTGCATTTATGAAAATGCTTGGTGCCTCCATAAACTCCCAGCTGTGTGTGGGCTGTTCTTCCTCATGACTGGGCAGGAGACTGTGCTGCTATAAATATATAATTAAAACATTGGAATATTTATGTAAAACTTTTTTTCACAAGATTCACAAAAATTATGATATCATTTTGTCATGTTTTGTGCATTTTATTGGAAAAATATTGTAATAATCCTTGTGCATGCCAATGTACCTAGGACCCTGAGCTAGATTTATTCACCAGCAATATATTCTAGTGTAATTTTTTTACAACAAGCCTTATGTTAGATTTTAAAGCTAGAGGAAAAAAAGAAATGATCATTTTTAGAAGAATACAATCTGTTTTGGCAAAATTCCCAGTCTTACCATAATTGGCATGAGACTTCCTATCTTTTTGTGGGGACATATACATAAAAGCTGAATGATATTCTCTCCATTCAGCGTTGGCAGCAGTCCCCTCAGCCTGGGAGTTGCTATTTCAGGGCTGGTACATATTAAATATTTTGGGGGAGGAGGATGTGAATGGAGCTTACCTTCAATATTCGTTCTTTCAAATAGTAACACACTTCTAGTACATTTTTATGTCTTTACTTGTTCTAACAAGTATACTTGTCTCTGTACACTTGAGACAGGTTGAGCTTAGAAGGTCTTAGTTACTTTGGCAAATAGGTTTCTCCTGTGCTGAGTAAATAGGTCTGTGCCTTTCATTGGGAAACAATGACTGAAGCAAAGATAAGCCTGTTCAAGACTCTCCCTTTCTTCTTTTCTGTTTTATCTGTTTCCAGCCTTCCCTAGTTGCTAGTTTTATCTGAAAACATAATTCAACCAGTATTTATTGAGTTTACTTATATATTCCCAGGAGAGGATTCTCAAGCAAAATTTTGATACAACATTTGTGTGACTTGAAAAGTTCAAGGTTTTTCCTTATAGCTGAAAAAAATGAAGTGCTCATTCCTGAGCTCCAGTAACTATATAATGGCTGGGACAACTGTAAAAGGGCCAGGGCCAGCCCTTCCTCTGACTGTTTTGAGCACCAAGTCAGGAGCTCTTTACATCACACACTTACTGAATGGCTATCAACTGTGGAATTCTGGGCAGCATTTAACTTTTTGTGCCATATATGCTTGTCTTGTATACTTAGAGTTGTAAAACAGACCTATCAGAGACCTGAAGAACTTAAATTTTTATTTATAAAGTACTATTGATACCAGTGCTGTCTGTCATACTTTTTCTTCCTCCAAATGGCCCCCTGGGATTTCACATGGGTTTGGGGACTTTGCAGGGTCAAAGAAGCATTCAGGAACCCCTGGGAATTGTGTTTGCATGTCGGGGGCTCAGTAAATTTTCCTCTAAGCCCAGTGTGAGGTACTCATGACATCTTTTATATTTAGGGAACTTAGTGATGCTGACTGCGATGGAGCCCTGACCCTGCCTGAGTTCTGTGCTGCATTTCATCTCATTGTGGCCCGGAAAAACGGCTATCCACTGCCCGAGGGCCTCCCTCCAACTCTGCAGCCAGAGTACCTGCAAGCAGGTAAGGGCTCATCCAAAATCTTAAACCCTAGACATTTTCCATCTGGCCTTACAAGAAACTTTTGTTTCTTAAATGGTGTCCAGGTAATTTGGGGAGTCCCTGGAATCTACAGTTATTGTCCTTTAACTGATATTAGACTTTTTGCATCTTATGATATCAGTAATAGGGATGATCTGAGTGTGAGTCATCTGTTATTTTCATTCTAGTACTCTCTAGTCTAGATGGATTTGAACCAAAGTCACTTGCCCTTTCATGAAAATTGTGGCAAAGGCAACTACTAAATCTCCCAGCTGATATAAAATGAAGAGGAAGATCTTCCTATACAGCCAAGTGCTGACATGGCATCTTTAGGCACGTCCCAGTGTCTTCAAATGGCCTTGGGCAAGGAACTGAAATAGAACTATTATACATAATGAAAAAGTTAAAAAAATTACATAAGCAATGAAATCTGCCAAGTGCCGTAATCTTAAATATACACTTGATGAATTTTTACATATATATGCATCCATGTAACTACAATCAGATAATGATTTAGAAAATTCCAGCACACCAGAAGGTTGGAATAGAATTGCCTTTCTTATTAATAAAACAGTTACTCCACAAAACCCTTTGGATAGGAAATATATTCAACATTTATATCAATTTCTTCAGAAGATTGGACAAATTAGCAGTTTCTCTAGCCCCTTTCAGAGGTAGTGGGCAGTGATTTGATTTCTATTACTCAGAGAAGTATAGCTTCCATCAAAAGGGTCCAGAAACATCTGGTGCTTTCAACAAACTTTCTCACTTTTTAGGCAGGCAAGGTCTTTTCAAAACACGAGAGCTAGTCATGGATGATTATTGACAAGAGGAAGTAGTGTCAAAAGAAAATGTGATTAGTCGTTAATAGAGTATAAGTTTTGTAGTTAGATCTGGAAAAGGCCTTAGATGACCTTATCTTGTCCCCTCCTCATACCATATTCAAAGTGGTCAATAACTTATCTGAATCAATCTTGGGGTCTCTGACTCTGAAATAGTCTGTCATTTTCTGTATTAGGTAGTGGGAGGGTGGAGGGGGTTGAGCTGAGACTTGAAGGGAAGAGACCATGTATGTGGCTGATGCCAGTGACAGGTAAACATGTT